CCCCGGAGTTGCAGGATACACCATGCAGATTGCTTAGCACAGAGCCTGGCACACAGTAGGAGCTCCAAAGCATATGGTAAAGACAGCAAAACACCCCTCCATTCTCCTGGGTGCTAGGTTGTACTAACGAAAGGGGTGAATTTATCAAGGTCTAGTTCCAATTCCTAACCGTCAACAGTAGGAAGGTCCTCCTGTGCCCAAACCCTCCTGGTTCTCTTAGTGTAACAATGCCCCCACCTCACCAATCAGCACATTGGCCACAGCAATCCGCTGGGACTCCGATTCTAGTGCTGGGTGCATCTCACTCCATCCACACAACAACCCTGGGAAGGTACGTGGTACCATACTCACATTTGACAGAGGCAGAAACTGAAGCTCAGAGAGGCTAAGTGACTTGCCAAAGGTCACACAGCACCAGACACTAAGAAGGCACTCAATCAACGTTCGTTGAAAGAAGGAAAGGACGGCTGGATAAGGGAATGGTTCAAACCCAGGTCATTCCAAATCTAGTCTGTAGGCCTTTACATTCCGTGCGGCCTCCTTATCCCACCACCAGCAAAGATCTGGGTAACCTCAAGCAACCCAGCCCGTGAGTCAAGACAACCTGTTTTTTTGTGTGTGTGTGTGTTTTTTGCGAGGATCACATTCCTTCATTTACAGATAGTCATGGAGCGTCTGCTGTGGGCCAGGCCCTCAGCCGGGTCTCCCCGAGGTGACGCCTGCAAAAAGTACATGCGCGTGCAAATGCCAGCGGCCCGCGAGTGAATAAATAAGGCCTTGACTCGCCTCCTCCCAGGCGTGGGGCTTCTGTGCAGCTTCTGTGCAGCCTCTGAACCACAGCCTCCCCGCCCCTCCCCAGCCCAGGCCAGTCAGCTTTTCCATGCTCCCCCCGCTCCTGGGGCTCCCACAGAGCTTCCTTGCTCAGTGGCTTCAACTCCTGGCAGGCCCAGGCCTAGCGCTCGGTCCCAGCCTCCCTCAGCCCGTCCCATGTCCCTGGAGAGCCATGCAGAACCCGCCCCACACACCCTCCCAGGCTCTGAAAGGTCCCACAGTCATTTCTAAGGAGGAAGCTCTTCCAATGTCATGTCACAGGAGGAGACAGTTCCAGAGAGAGGAGAGCAGTGTCCCACGTCACCCAGCGAACTAGATCTCCAAGGCGGCCCTGGAGAGCATCCAGCCTGCTTCCTCACAGGAGCTGGCAGCTCTGTCTGACATTCTGCAGAAGCTGAGGCTGAGGGGGAGTCAGGGCCACAGAGTTTGTAAGCGGTGGGGCCGGGATTCGAACCCAGGTCTGCATGATCCCCGTCTGGGGACAGTTAAGCCCCATGTCCCAGGCAGCACCACTTCTGCTCTGCTGAGACTCGATTCTGAATGTATAGGGGGGTTGGGGGCAGAGAAGAGAGGACGGAAGGAACAGGAGTTCCTGTCGCGACTCAAAGATGCCACTTTGATTTCATAATTTCTGGCATCTGGTGACATACAAATAACTGGTCTGCTCCCTGCCACACCGAGGACTGGCCAAAGCTTCCGGGTCCTATTGGAGTGAGGCCAGACTCCAAGGTGGGGAGGGTGGGATTAGGGAGAGCATGGGGCTGGAGGCGGGATGGCACCTGGGCAGCCTGCTGTCCCCCCTCTTGCCCTTATCCGTTTGGGGCTGGAGGAGCAGGAAGGGCCATGGCATCCCGGCCCCTTTAAGAACATGCCGAGAGCCCTTGGCCAAGTCTTTTGTCCCTCTCCCCCTCGTGTCCTCATCGGTAGAGCAGGGATTAACACACACATCCTGCCCCTCCTGAACCAGTCCCTGGGAGGCGCTAAAGGGAAGTGCACACATGTGGAAGTAACTCATACACATGGTGGGGAAAGAAACAGAAGTCTCAGCATGAGCTCCTCCTTAGAGGCCAAGGACAGGTCCTGACACATCTTCTGAAACCCCCCAGCCTCCCAGCTCTAGGCCCTGGGGTCTTAGAGTGGACATTCATGAGTGGGGAATGTTTTGCCCTGGAGTCTGGAGTCTGGAGCTGAGGTATAAACTTCAACTCTGCCTCCTACGTGCTGTGTGCCCTTGGGCAAGTCCTGGCCCTCTCTGGGCACAGTTTCCAGGCTCTTCCCCTGCCCACTGAGGAGGACTGAACTGGAATGAGGCCTAAGCACCCATCCACGGTACAGGACATGCCAGCACCTTCTTTGGTCACTGGGAAGCTCCAGGCGATCTGGAAGGAGGCCTCACCTCCTGCTGACCCACATCACCAGACCCAGGAGGCAAGTGTGTGGCTCAGGCATCCACCAGCCCCAAAGGCAGATGCTACACCCGAAAAGTCCATTCCTGCTGCGGTTCTGCTGGCTCGGACAGGGCCTCTCTCCACACCGTACCCAGCTCGGGAGGCAGGGTTCTTCCTCCACTAGGCAGAGTGGACACCCTGAACCGCACTGCCCTCTGTCAGAGGGAGACAATTCACCCCCTTTCAACCTCACAGCCAGCGAGCCAGCGCCCCTGCAGCCTGGGAGCTGAGCTGTCAGGGCCCCAGGCACCTGGGGCCTGAGTCGGACCGGGTCACCTGGAGGATTCCTCATTTCCTCAGCTCCCAACTCTCTACCCTGCCCATTGCAGAACTCGGGGACTTGAGCAGAATGTTGACATAATCACAAAGCAATGCATGTAATTTCCATACGTTCTACAATATGGTTATAATAAAAATGGGCCCTCAGTCCTCTTGCAGAGAGGCTGAATAAATATTATTCCTAATGATTATTAAAAATAATCAAGTGTGTTTGGTAAGGCCCGGGAATTCCCAGCATCTGCCACTGTCTCCGCATTGTAAGGAGCCCTAATGTCAAATACAGAGCCCAGAAGGAGGGAACCACATGGTGCTCATCACCGAGGCAGGAGAACAGAGCCGAGGCCCAGGCTTCCTGGAAACTCCATCCCATCACTCCCTGCCTGCAGGAATTGGCCTCCGGCAGCAGAAAGGTCGTTGCCCCTGGAGACAGTCCCAGGCAAGCCAGAGGCATTGACCCTGAGAATGTCTCCTGCACGGGGAATGTTCTTTCTCCTGCTTGGGTCCACTCTGACCCTCCTCACCCCAAACTCCTCTACCAGGCGCCACACTTCGAGTGTCTAGCTGCGGTTCTCAACCTGTGGGTCGCGACCCCTTTGGCAGTCGAACGACCCTTTCACAGGGGTCGCCTAAGACCATCCTGCCTATCAGATATTTACATTACGATTCATAACAGTAGCAACATTACAGTTATGAAGTAGCAACGAAAATAATTTTATGGTTGGGTCACAACATGAGGAACGGTATTTAAAGGGCCAGAAGGTTGAGAACCACTGGGACTCTACAGGATTCAGGCAAGTAACATACATGGGTGATTGGAAGACCCAATCGGGAGATGTGGGGACAGGCACAGACAGGAGCGGGCCGGGCCTGTCTAAAGGGGCCGCCCTGACCTGGCTGCAGCCCAGGGCCCCTGCATCTCCGCCACTTCCAAGAGAAGCTGGTCACTGGGTCTTTTCTAAGAAATCTCTCATTTTTAAAATGTGAGTCACTTATTAAAAATGTTTAAACCATGTTGCATGCGCCAAACAAAACATCAGGGCTACCCACGTGGGACTCCCAGGCAAGCTGGTGGCCCTTGGAGCCCTGCCCTCGGAGTCAGGAGCTGCCTTGAGGCTGTGTGACCCGGGCCACCAGTTCATGGCTCTCCTTAAGCCACTTGACCTTTATAGCTGGAGCAGCAAAGAATGACCTGGGGCCTGGGCCAACCAAAGCCCAAGGGTGCTCTCCACCTGACCGGAGTCTGGCTCAGTGGGTCATGAATCCAGAGCAGGACTTACACCCGTGAACACAGCCGAGGTGGAGGAGTGGGGGACGCATCAAGATGGCTCATCAGCAGCTCCCTGCTCTAAGCTGCTTCTGTTCCTCCGCCCTTGCCAGGAACAAGCACTGGACCGAACTGCCCCCGCTACCCGCTCGAGCTCCTGGCAACACGCGCACCTCGCCCATTCTTACCGGAAAACCACAGTCTCCCTTCGGCCCCGGAGGTCCCATCAGCAGCGGGAAAGGCGTGGGTCCCACCAGATGAAAGAACGAATAGCCACTGCTCGTGGGCCAGGGGCTGGAGGACAGGAATCGCGCCTGGGCCAACGCTGGGGCCGGGGTGGTCTGCCGGCCGGGCCGGGGCTGGCTGGGGGTGGGCCCCGTGGTCGGATCACTGATGGGGACATCCCTGGATGCCTTCCCGGGTCTGAGTGGGACGGGCTTCTTGGGTCTGGCTTTCTTTGTGGCTTCTGATCCAGTGGGTTTCTTGCTTCCAGTGGGGACTAAACCAGGAGTGAGGGTGGGAGGCATCGCTGTGGCTAGAGGCCGAGTGGTCCTGGTAGAGCCAGGACTGGGGGCAGATGAGGGGGGCAAAACAGTGGGTTGGGGAGGTCTGTGTGTGCTGGTGCGGGCGGGAGCTGGCTCACTGGCACGGCTGCTCATCTTGGCCTCTGTCTGGACAACTGGGAGGAAGGGCTTTTTAGAGGCACCGGCAGCGGGGGGCAGGGGCCGGGCACTGGGAGGTGGGGGTCGGGGCGTCACAGGGTTCCTCTGGACCGGCTTCCCTGTGAGACGGGACACTTGGGCAGGGACTGGGTGGAGAGTGGGTGGCACTGGCTTCTTGGTGGGAGGGGCTGACTTTCTCGAGGAAGGGAGAGCTGCCTTCTGGGCGGGGCGGGGGCTTTTGACAGGGGCAATGGGAGGAGAAGGGGCTGCAGGCTTGGTTGGGTGGCTCTTGGGGGTTTTGGTGGCTGTGCTCTTCTGCAAGGACTGGACAGGTGTGGGGGAGCTCGCAGCAGGGGCTCGGGGCACGGGAGGAAGCACTTGGCTCGCTGACAGCTTGGCAGGTGGCAGCGGGGTCCGGGCTGGGTCTCCCACTGAGACACGCCTGTGAGGGTCTGTGGTGCTAGTCCTTAGGGGCTTGGTAGGTGTGGGGGGCACCACCGTCCCTCTGGGTCCCCTGCCTGCTGGCCGCGAGCCCAGGGCTGGCATGGCAGTGGTCAGGTTCCCCAGGCCGAGCAGGGCTAGGTCAGTCTGGAAGGCAAAGGGTGCGCCCGAGTCCCGGGGGAGGAGGGGTCCCGGCTGGGGCCGGTACATGTCGGCCTGTCCACACGGCCGCCTCAGGTGGGTGCAGTAATTGTGAGCGACCTGCGTCACAGGGTAGATACTGAACTGGCACAGGGCGCCTTCGAACTGGACCGCGTGCGGGCTCATCCTCCCAAAGAGGAAGGAGCCCTCGGGGTCCAGCGCGGGGTCCCTGTGGAAAGCCAGCGGGACAGGCCCCGGGGGCTGCCC